ACACACACACACCGAGCTCCTAGTGACCTGATCACTTTGAATAAAACAAGAGGAAAGTCTAGTAAGAGCAATTCCATTAGTACCAGCTTTGAGTCAAACTTTTGAGCCTGAGTGGATCTAATCGTGCCTGTAAAGCCTCTCTCTTAGCTCAAGAATTAGTGCCATCCAGGGAGCAGTTTTAGAAACTGCAAGATCCTGCACATGCCCACAGAGAAATAAAAATCAAAGGAAAACCTCAACAAAAGCCATACTAGTTCTGGTGTGTTGAATCTCTAAGCAGCCAGGCAACCTAAGAAACTTGCATGCAGAGAGCAGCTCCATTTATCTTTTACGGTAGAGAACCAGACATCTCACTGACCTCATGATGGTGATCTGCTTCTGTGCTGCCGGGAAAAGCTGGGTGTGGGCTGAGCAGTTCAGAAATTTCAGTCCACCTCAGGTGGATGCTCACAGGACTATATAAAGGGGCGATGGGGAGGGGGCTGGTGAGCACCAGCTGATGCTCTCCTGTTTCTAAGGACTTGCGTTTGTGAAAGGGAAGAGGAAACTGGAAAGTGAAACTGACTTAAAATCAACAGGAGAGGAAAAAGAAACTTAATGCTGAGATCATCTATGACTCAGCCCTGTTTCCCAGACTGAAGCAGCACAAAGCAGACTTGCCTTTACACATGGTGTTTATGAAAACAGAGTTCCATGCGATAGTTCAAATTCAGACATTGCTGCTATGTACATGAACTTGGATAGCTGTGGAATTCTGGTTGGTTGTTTGACTTAGCAGCTTGCTACTATTAATGGCATAAGAGGTTAAGTGCACTCCTGGTTGACCCATGCATTTGCCTTGCTTTGGTAGGCTTCACTTAGCAAAGGCACTACAAATATAAAATTTTCAAAGATCTTGTATGGTTCTATTATTTAGAACTCAATGCCCGGTTTTGATCTAGTGGGACTTGAAACCTTATAATACCAAATGAAAGAGGATGTACCTGCCTCCTTTTTCTTCTTTGCTCTGATTTAAAAGGAAATTGTATGTTGAACATTTGCACATTGTAAGCATATTGATTTTAGAGATGTTGCTTAGGAGTGCAGAAAAGGTCTGTGCAACAGAAGGGGTCAAGTTAGGCAAAGCACACATAGATTCAGTTGTTTCCTCTTCTCAGAATGAAAGAGATTCTGATTGACTGGTTGGTTGGTTGGTTGATCAACTGATTCATTAATTTCTCTCCCTTTCTCTCTCTCTCTCTCCTGTATGCACAGAGGCCAAAAGAGGACATTATATCTGATAGGAACTGTAGCCATGCCCCAACGACTGTGCATGTGCTGGTGAGACACTTAGTCATTTATGTCCTACGTAGTCCCTGCGCTGTGTGGTCACATAATTTGTGCGCAGCGTGATCACGTAATCTATGCGCATACGTGGTGTAGCTATGTATGCCCATATACACATGCATGGGGGAGTCCATAAAAGGTGGATCCCATGTACCCTCCTCCCTCTTCCTCACATGTCTCTCAAATAGGCCTAAGCACACCTTTCCTGTACCTCCCTTCTCCTAATAAACTCTTACAGTGGGTTTTGTTGTGCCTTGTGACTTTTCCTCACAGGGTAAACAGTGCTGCATAAAACTAACAATATCCCCTGGAGCTGGAGTTACAGGTGGCTGAGCTGCTCAGCTTGGGTGCTGAGAACTAGACTCATGGCCTCTATAAGAGCATCAAGTCCTTTTGGCTGCTGAGACACCTCCCCAGCCCCATGGAGAACCTTACTTAACAAATACCTTCTACCATTGTAGAATGAATTCTCTGTATTCATGATTCTTGTTTTATTCTAGCTCCTGGCTCAAGAAGTGCACTTGATTTTGCTATGTATGAGTAACAGTTGCGTGTGATAACTAGACAGTGTTATTTGTCATTAATCATTTTCCCCATTAGTGGAAAAAAATTGAAATTTATTATAGTAAAATAAAAAAAAACCCTCCCTTTTAAGAAATGTGTAAAAGTGAAAAGTTGACTTTACACTAATCAAAACATTTAGAACCAAAGGTATCTGTGAGAACTCTGCCTTCCTGAGAATATTGCCTCAGCTTAAGCATCTTCTCAGCCCTCAGATTTCACATTAAACACCCACTTCCATATGTTTAAGAGAAGATGAGTCACAGGATGCACAATTATGTGTTAGGCACTTTCATGACATCTTCAATCTTGATACAGAAGGCTCATCTCTTGAACATTAAGCTATAAACACAATTTCAAGCACTTGGCTTTACTTCAGAAATGGTTTTGGCCAATTGAAGAAGCCAACAAATTACCTACAGATAAATGAAGCATCAGAATGTAATAAAGATTTATCTTGCTCAATCAGGCACCCTAGGGTCAAGAATCCTCCTGCTCTTGATACTTACTGACTTCTGAGCTGAATGTTAATGAAGGAAAACAGACTTTTCATTTAAGGACCCTTATCACTCTATGCACAAAGTCACAGCATAAAGTCATGAACCAAAGACAACCTCTAAATAATCTTCATGATAGCAGGCACAAAGCCATGGCCTCCCAGCAAGTAGGAAGCCATTCTAGCCAAAGGAAGTTAAGTTGTCATGATGAAGAGTTAGTTATCTGTACTCTCATGTTCACTGTAACAGTATTCAAAATAGTCAGGATATGGGAATGTGGTAGTTTGAATGTAATTGACCCCCATAATCTCATAAGGAGTGGCACTATTAAGAGGTGTGGCTTTGTTGAAGTGGGTATGGCCTTGTTGGAAGAAATATGTCACTGTGGGGGAAGACTTTTGAGGTTTCCTATGCTTAGGATACTGCTGAGTGTCTCAGTCTATTTCCTGTTGCCTGCAAGATGTAGCACTCACCGGGCAGCAGTGGCACACACCTTTAATCCCAGCACTCTGGAGGCAGAGCCAGGTGGATCTCTATGAGTTCGAGGCCAGCCTGGTCTACAGAGAGAGATCCAGGACAGGCACCAAAACTGCAGAGAAACCCTGTCTGGAAAAAACAAAAACCAAAACAACAGCAAAAAAAGATGTAGCATTCTTAGCTCTAGTACCACATCTGCCTGCACAGTGCCATGCTCTCTGCCATGATAATAAAGAACTGAACCTTTGAAACTGTAAGAGAGCTACCCCAATTAAATGTTTTACTTTATAAGAGTTGCCATGGGCATGGTGTCTCTTCCCAGCAATAAAAACCCTAACTAAGACAGGAACCAACCTAAGTGTCCATCAATGTATGAATAGATAAAATATAGTGCAAATGTTTTATATACATATATATGTATATATATATATGCACATACACACATGTATATACACAATGGAATGCACAAACACACGCTTATACACACACAATGTAATATACAAGCACACACACATGTACACACACAGTGGAATGCATAAGCACACACACACATACACCCACAATGAAATACTATCCAGTCTTTAAAAGGAGGAGATTCTGAGATTTTCATCAACATGAATAGGTCTGGAGGATGTCGTGGAAAGTGAAATGGCCTGGACACAGAAATAATATCATAGGATTTCATGTATATGCAGAATCTAAAAATGAACTCAGAAATCAGAGAGCAGAAGGGATATAAGCAGGTTGTGATGGAGTTAGGGACTGGAGGGTCATGAGTCAGAGGATATACAATTTTAATTTTTATTCTTTTTATTTAAATGAACTGTATTTTTTAATTAAAGATTTACTTTTATTATTTTTAATTACATGTGCATGTGCGTGCATGCATTTGTGTGTGTGTGTGTGTGTGTGTGTGTGTGTGTGTGTGTGTGTGTGTGTGTGAAGTGTATGGGCACCCCCAGAGGCCAGAAACAGAAAGGGATCAGATTCCCTGAAGGTGGAGTTTCAGGTGGTTGTGAGTCACCTACTTTGGAGCTGGAAACTGAATCTGGGTCCTCTGAAAGAGCAGTAAACACTTAATTTCTGAATCATCCCTCTAGCTCACTAAATTTAATTTAAAGACAGAGGCTGCAGAAAGGGAAGCAGAAAGGCTTTCCAAGTGCTCTTGATTATCACCTGTGCAAACAGTTGATAGCATCGTGTTGCAGTCTACAAGGATCTCAGGGATTTCCAGCTTTGCAATGGAATGAAATTTCTATTTAAAAGATTCATCCAGTTCAGAAATGACGCAAACCTAGGCACACTCTAGTTTTCACTACAGATGAGGCCATAACAGAAGCTTTGGGGTTGGTGTTCTATTTTGCTTGTTCCATATTGTCCTTTGAAAAACTGGCCCAAGGGTTCCAAAAGAGGAAAGGCAGAATTGGCTATTCATTTCACAAACCTTTGGTAAACCCCATTCTGACTTCCTATGGCTGTGTGAGGGACCAGCCCCCAGCAGTGCAGAGCTCAAAGAGAATTCACAGAGTCAATGCATACTAACACTTTTTCATCTGAGGGGGTAAAGGGGGAAATGACACTCACACTTTCTTTTGATGGTTTCCTTCTGTATTCTTCTGCTGTATTCTGATTCTGTACTCTGTATTCTCTTTTCTTATCTCTATCCAGAAATATCCCTTCTGTCTCTCTTGATGGTTTCCTTCTCCTTCTAACTTTCTTGATGTTCTCCTCCTAATTCTCTCATTCTTGATGTTTTCCTTCTAACTCATTTTTAACTCTATCTTTATTCTTTCCCTTGCAGATTATATACCCAAGCAAAATCTTTCAGGCAATATAAAAATTACAATGTGGTTACAATCTGTTTTTCAAGTGAATGATTAAAATGAATACAAGTAAAAACCAGCATGTTTTCCGTATCTTTTACATGATTAAACTTTTTATGTACTACAGGTGAAAAACAAACTATCCCAAGAACCCATGTACATTCCTACACAAGAAACTTGTTATAGATTACCAGTGTGTAAGCAAGTAAGATAGTCTTTTACTGGCAGGCTGTGTTTTGTGGTTAAAAAGAAAGGACCAATCACTTTATTACTTATCTTGAAAGGTAATCTTATAAGGAATCATAAAGGAATCACAAATCCAAACTTCCATATGTGAAAAAGAATCAGTCAGCTCTACTTTAAATCTTTAGGATGCATACCCACTCATTAATAGATTTTTTTATATCAGGAAATTGAGGGCAAAAAATAGGTATAAGAAATAATGATCACTTTTGGTCATCAACCAATCCTAGCAAGAAAGGCACATCAGCTAATGATAATTGGGCTGCTTTGTTCTTATTCCCTGACCTTAAAGAGTTCCTTATTCAACTATGTGTTTTTCTAAAACTTTAGATTGTCTTGGGTTTTTCACCTCAGAGCTATTTGACAAAAACATTTCAGTCTAACTTTAAGTTATTTTCAAAGCTTTGTTTCAGCTATGACATACTCTGAAATCTGTGAACACAACTCCCAATATTAAGATTAAAAGAATTTGAGCCAGCCTGGTTCCTGAGGACTTAATTCTTTTCCTTAATCATTAATCTGAACTTATAGGCCCTAGCTGTGTGATACTTCCTTGCATTTATTTTTATC